AGATGACTCCAGCCAAAGGCCTGGCAGGTCAGACTCGGGGAGGGGGGAAATCGTAACCCCGACATGGGGGCCAACGCTGGGAAAAAAGGGGTCCCGCCACCTAGACCCCGAGGGCACGTGGCCACCACCAGAGCAAGTGTCCGGCCCATGGCACAACCAGGGCCTGGGCAGGAGGCCAGGGACGTGTGAGGAACAGATAGTGAACTGCCCTGACGTCCCAGCGACGCTGGTTGCGATGTCGCAGAGTGGAGTGATGTGTTTTCCTTTCACCTTTTGTCCTTATTTTTCAAATTGGTGGCTGGTTAATAAATTGTATTTGTTTGAACTGTGTGTAATTATCAGTGGGTCAGGGAAGAGTCCAGTGTGGAGAGAGTACCCCGGAGTGGGAACACCCTCGCCCCTGCCCTAAGTGACCACGACAAGGTTGGGGGTCGAGCCCCCCAGGAATCCTGGGCCCAGCCTTGCTGGGGTTACGAGGACTCTGCCATACAGAGAGTGGAAGAAATGTCCTCGAGGTCAGGCAGGCCTCTGGCTAAACTAGGACTCAGATCCTTTCGCCAGCCCGCTGCACTGGGGTTGTGTATAAGCCAGGGAAGTTCCCCACAATAGGGGGACCATTTCCCCACTTGCATACGCATGAAACTCAGCTCGGCATTGGCCATGAATTAAGCCCAGGCCTGCTGGCTGGGAGATAAGAATTCTCCCACTGAACCACAATTGTGCAAAATATAAAAAAGGGACCTGTGCATTATGGGCCCTGCTCACTGCCAGGGCCTTACTCTGCTGCCGGGCACAGGGGTGTGGCTGACACTCCCGGGAGCTCTGTGTTTCTAAATCAGAGTTGAGAGCGCCGTGTTTCTGGTCAGAACGGGATTATCTGGCAGTTCCTTAATGAATGCTCTGGGGTTTAGAGAGCTCTATTTCTATGTGTCCTTTGAGCGCTTGGAGCAATGCTGGAGAGGTTAAATGGCACAGAGCTGGGGAGCAGGGTGTGGTCCCAGGTAAGTAGTAGTTGTGCTCTGGAGAGAACGAGCAGGGGAGGGGCTTGTGCAAGGTGTGGTGTTTCCATGCATGTGTAATATTTAATACAACCCCATTATTAAACCACCCATGGCTGGGAACATAAGAGGAACTCTTTGAAATAGGGTGTGTCCTTTCTAATCATCAAGATCACTGGCTCCAAGACTGTGCTATCAGTGGGAGTATAGCTCAGTGGTAGAGCATTTGACTGCAGATCAAGAGGTCCCTGGTTCAAATCCAGGTGCTCCCTAAGAAGTTGCTTCTTTTAATGAACATATTTCCATCTCCGGTATGTTCAGGAGTTCCACTGAATGGGGATGTGAAATGAATTTAAACATTCAGCATTTTTCTGGTTGAAATGTACAAACACCGAGCAAACCTGTCCATCGGTTGAAATCCATTCCAGTCCTCTGAGGCTCTAGTGTATGTTTTCATGGATTAAACAAAGGTATAATATGATGCACACTTGCAGGTCCTTGTTCTCCAGGGGCTGTGCTGTGCAGAAGAACAAGACCCACACCCAGCTGGGGCGGAGGAGTCTGATGAGCAAAGGCACCTTGGTGCAGGCTAAAGTCACCAGCCCCTTCGTTCCATTTCCAGTGATGGTTGCAGAGCCCGAGAGGGCCAGTGTGATGGTGTCTGCACAGAGAATGGCCAATGCCCAGTCTCCTGGCAACTGATGGCCTGGGCCCTCCTCTGCAAATTAAAACAACCTTCAGAACTAAAATGCCACAAGAAAGTGGAAATGCGGGTAGCTTAAATAATTCAGGGTGTGTGTGTGTGTGTGTGAGTGTGTGTAAAAGGCACAACAAATTAATTTTTAACCACATCTTTCTTAACTTCTTTATATATTATGTAGTACATTAACTATACCAAGTGGCTTGTTCAATGCAATCTCTTTTTTATGCAGTGCCCAGAACAGATTTTAGAGTTATTTAAATGCACCCTTCCTGTTGCACGTAAAGATGTTTATTTCATTCTGTGAAGTGCGTTGGTAGCTCAACTATTTGTTAATTTTCTCTGTGTGTGTGAAGCACAACACATTAATTTAGTAATGCAGAATATCGTCCCTTCTCCCTCCAGCTTGTTTTCACCTGGCTGGGGCGCTGGCTCGCCTTTTGTCTCTGGACAACTGTTTGTGACTGTCCTCCAGAATTGCCTTATGTAATATCCTGCAATGTCTTATGTAATATCATGTCTTACGTAATATCATGCAATAGAATCTTATAACTTCACATACAAAGTTGCCAGACATATTTTACCAGGACAATAATGATCAGCAAATTATGAGGTTTTAAATGATATCTGACAAGGCGTACTTTGCACGGACTTTGACATTGTGCAGTAAAAGGATGAATAGACTGTCACACACTTGCCCTGGGTCACCTCAGGCCCAGTAACTGCCCCTGCCCCCACCTACCAGTGACGTCTCCCAGCCCAGCACGCGGGGAGCAGTTAGATGGCTGGAGTGGAGGGGAGAACCTGCTCCTTTGGCCCTCGCAAACGGGATTTGGGGAAAGAATAATAGAATATCAGGGTTGGATGGGACCTCAGGAGGTATCTAGTCCAACCCCCTGCTCAAAGCAGGACCAATCCCCAACTAAATCATCCCAGCCAGGGCTTTGTCAAGCCTGACCTTAAACACCTCTAAGGAAGGAGATTCCACCACCGCCCTAGGGAACCCATTCCAGTGCTTCATCACCCTCCTAGTGAAATAGTGTTTCCTAATATCCAACCTAAACCTCCCCCACTGCAACTTGAGACCATTGCTCCTTGTTCTGTCATCTGCCACCACTGAGAACAGCCAAGCTCCATCCTCTTTGGAACCCCCCTTCAGGTAGTTGAAAGCAGCTATCAAATCTCCCCTCACTCTTCTCTTTTGCAGACTAAAGAAGCTCAGGATCAGTCACATAGGCATGCACAGCCCATTTCATTAGGGTGTGCACCCAGGGAGCCCCGCCCCGAGCCCCGCCCCTACCCCCATCCACT